TCACTAACTAGTTAACCTGTCATTCAACCAGGCCGACAAGACTCATTTACCATGCTTGTATCTTCACCATGTACCAACGAGCTGGAGCTGGGGCCGATTTCACAAACTGTGAGAGCCGTAGGGAACAGGTATGGCTCGCATTCAGCCGCAATCAATAACTACAGCCTTGAGGCTAATAGACAGTCTAACGGAGATCCACAGTTTGAATCAAACGGAGGTCCGGCTGGACTACGGCGACAGGGTTCAGGCCAAAGGTACATTAACCTAGGCACCTTGTTCTGGTAAGAATTCTGACCCGGTGGTCTTGTTACTTAGTTCACCGTCTCCGGATGTTTCGGTTTAAAGAAAAGCAATATGCTCAGAGGGCTAGCTATGCATTGTGCATGTGTTGACATAATGCTATAGAATACACCCAATACCCGATGAGATAACAGGGTGTATGTATGAAATCTCTCCACCTCCGATAGTTGAGCAGTGCCCGTGCTGACATACCAAAATCAAGGATTTTATTAGCATCTGCTTCGTGACATCGGGTGTCAGCTCTTTGCTTTCCACCGAATAATTTATCGACCATATAATTAATGTTGACCCTCTGGAGAGTATATATACTCTTCATTCCCAGTTAGCTGGAGAATTCAAATGCTCCAACATTCATCCTATATAAGCTTCTTTCTGTCGTGTGATTTCCTCTGATTGCCGGTGATATAGTCCCTCTACTACAACTAAGACCACCCTCCACCCCATTCCAGCTTCTGGGCGAAATCCTTGATTTTGCAAACGATGACCAACATGACTGGTGGCAGAGCACTGTGGTGCATTACCAGATCTGCCCAGATGCAGTCGCTTGCTTATTTTAGCTCTTCCATCAGGTTATTAGAGAAAAGAATTAGCTACCTAGTTAATGTAATTAGACAACCTCATCGCCCTCGCTGGTTGATTAGTTATTTAGTCGGCTTATTTTTACTTGTTACAGCCTGAAATTTCCACTAGTAACGAATAGAGGCTGATACAGATCATCATTTACTCCGTATCTCCTGTTGAGTTGATATTTTACACGTATAGCTGGATCTATAACGGTATTTTGGGGAGTCATGTTTGAGCGGAAGAAATGCCGCATCCAAGAGGCTGGAATATTTGTAGGTTCCATGTAAGGTTAAGCTCGGCGGTTGGCGGGAGGCTTTTGCCGCCAAGGAGAGCTTCTTACTAACTAACTAGTTACACAACTGGTTAGCTTTGTCACGTGGATACATTAGTCATTCTGCTTTCCTTTGCCTCGCATATCCAATAGCTCAATATCAATCTCCTTCTTTTGACCTCAGTTGACTGGTTACTTTGTAAAACCAGTTGCTGGGATCTTGTGCATGAGACAACGGCCTGTTGTACAATAGGTGAGTGGATAACCAACCCAACATCATGCGAGCACTAACTGTTGGCTTTCGGCCAGCGTCATCGGATACAGCGATATCCGGCGTCGCCAACCCCCCCTGCCTCACCCCGCCCAGGCGCCTGCCCGCGAAACATCTCTCTACTTTATGCTGATAAATAACCGTAGTACGAACGCTGGTCCTTCCGGCCTACAGCATTTCGATTGATTCTACGCTGGTTTATTGCCTCTCCCTGTGCTTATTCGGCTGCTGCAGCACGCTTCCGCCATTCATCTCCAGTGACGTCCGTTAGACTCGGAGGCTAACGGAAGTATGGAGGCACTAACGGTGCGCTAACGGTGGTCATCTCGATCCAACGACCAATAGGGAAAGTTTAATCTAAATATGATAGGGTAATAATAAGACCCACGCTGTTTCTACATATCCAGTCCTGCATCGAGGTGGTCCCTTCTCCCTTATGTTTTCCATGATGATCTGACACGATTCTAAAGAAGAGAAGGCTACGCAGTGCTGCATGTAGATTCAGTGTCGCAATCCAAATCTCTCAGCTTTATTCCGTACTCGCCATCCTTCATAGCAACCTCCCTCCTCCAGGTCCACCGTACGGGATTATCGATAACAAAATAACCCATGGCGTCTGCCTCTGCGAACCCTATGGATGAGAAGTTGGAGATACCTAACGAAGGGAGTGCAGCGCCTGTAAACCCTTCTCTTTCAACTCATCCTAAATATCATTATATATAATTTGTAGTTATTTACTTACCAAGTACTAATCGTTCATAGGCTGAGTTCGGTAACCTCGATGATCATGAGAACCCCAAAAAATGGCCAATGCTTCGAAAATGGAAAGCAATGCTCGGCATATCGTCCTTTGTTCTTATGAGCCCCCTTTCCTCAACGATTGTTGGGCCTAGTTTACCGAGTATTGCTAGGGACTTGTCAATCACCAGGCCTGCAGAACAAGCATTAGTGCTTTCTATATTTGTGCTTCCTTATGCCTTTGGGCCTTTGCTTGCAAGCCCTTTATCGGAAATCTACGGACGGGTGCCAGTAATACAATCGTGGAATTTCCTATATCTTGTCTTCAACACTGCCTGTGGTGCTGCTCGATCAAAGTCAGCCATGTTTGCTTTTAGATTCCTTGCAGGGTTTTTTGGAAGCGCTACACTGGGCGTATGTTCCTTTTTGTCCTGGCTTGATATATATATATATATATATGCGCGATATCAGCTAATTATCACTTATCAATAGATTGGTGGCGGAACTTTGGGTGACCTGTTTACCGCTGAGGAACGCGGTAAAGCAGTTGCGATATACAGTGTTATCCCCCTACTTTCCCCAATATTTGGGCCAATTCTCGGCGGACTAATTTCTCAGCACATATCATGGCGTTGGGCTTTCTATATAAGCTCATTGTCAGATGCAGTTATTCAGATTCTGGGTCTCTATCTCCTCGAGGAGACTTATGCCCCTGTGCTTCTACGCAAAAAGCAGAGGCGTTCAGTACAGCTGGCCTCTCCGAATCAACAACTACGCTCTTCAACCAAGGATATATTGAAGGAATTGCCTATTCGTCTAAAGGCTAATCTTGGACGCGCAGTCCTCCTTTTCACAACCCAACCAATTGTTCAGGCATTTGCCGTATATAATGCATTTTTGTATGGCATTATCTATACACTGTATACTACGTTCCCAGATCTATACACCAACATATATCATCAGACAGAAGGGATGGTTGGTTTGCATTATATCGCTATGGGTATTGGCATGGTTATTGCAGCCGAAGGCTTTACTCTTGTCAATGACCGGATATTCGCATTCCTTAAGGCGAAAAATAACGGGGTACCTTTGCCAGAGTTTCGCGTACCATTTATGGCACCGGCGACCTTACTAATAGCTGGAGGTTTATTTTGGTATGGCTGGAGCGCCCAGCACAAGCTGCACTGGGTAATGCCTGATATTGGTAGTGGCCTTTTCTGCGCTGGAGCTGTTATATGCGGTGTCTCTGCAAATGCATACATGATTGACACGTATGGAAAGTTCTCCGCAAGCGCGCTGGCCGCAGTTGGGACACTGAGAAGCCTGACGGCATTTGGGTTTCCACTCTTTGCTCCATATGTGTATGTTTTCCCTCTACATGCTGCGATATACTTGCTGATAAATGCATAGGTTTGAAACGATAGGCTACGGATGGACCGGGAGCCTCCTTGGATTTTGTGCATTGGGCATTGGGCTCCCTGGTGTAGCCCTTATCTGGGTGTATGGCAAGTTATTACGTCAACGGAGTACACTTGCGGCTCCTGATACAAGATGACGGATGGAATTTGAACTAACTGTATATATATCAAGCCACTGGGCTAAAAAGGAGATGTCCCTAAATCGGCCGCAGAGAGCCACGTTAAGATCTTTGGCGGCATATTATACGGATAGTTAGGTTGTCGCAGGGTGTTTTGGCTCGTTAATGTTTTACGTAGAGTTCAGTTGACCATGCAAAAATTGAATCACCTAGTTAGTTAACTAGTAACTAATAATAGCTCAGTCGTTAGCAGTGAGGTGGTTGGTTGGTTGCAGTGAGACTCGTATTAACTCTTAACTACGATGTCCATCCCCATATTTGGTTAAAACTCTCGACACTCACGAACCAGCACAAGCCTCCGTATTATTGCGAAGACTAAGATCAACATACGGAAACCTTCTTAACGACACCGCCTCTAAACTTAACTTAGTTATAGCGTTCCAAGAGGCAGTGCAACTTCATACCCCATATCTGCCGATGGAAAATCATGACTCCAGAAAGCGTAGTGCCTGTGATCGCTGCCGCAGCCAAAAGCTACGGTGTGTGAGGATCATGAGCGTAGCGGTGGAAGGCTCCATACCGAATAGCAGTGCAGCCAAACACACTCCCTGTGAAAGATGCAACAAAGCAAATGTGCCTTGCTACACCACTATACATTCGCGAAACCAAGGGACTCTTGAACCATCTTGCGAGCCAGTATGCTCGCCCAGGATGGGGTTGGATTTCGATATTGCGGACTTGCTCGCTATGGAAACAACTTCTCAATACGCCGCGCATGACGATGCCCCAGAGCGATCTCCTCATCTTGGTAGTAGCGGCGGCGTAACCCAGGTGCCGAATGCGCCTATTAGCCAGCAGGATATCAACTTCGTGCTCAACAGAACAGCCCAAGCACCGCCAGCCTATTCGACGCCCACAGCCCAGGTCTACGGTTCCAGTGACGGATGCAACAACACCTTCGCCCAGAGACGGGACCGCACGCTTAACCCATCTGATGGACTCCATGGTAGCAGCGCGCAAGGGGCTTATCCTATTGCTGAATTAGACCTGATAGGGAGCTGTACGATGCAGCTTTCAGAGCTTAATGCGCGCCTCATAAGAGACTTGACTATGAACAAGCTTCAGTCCGGGCCTCCGCTAGAATTACTGGAAGGCCCACCCCCGTCTGCCCTTTCGAAGTTCATTGGTAGCATCTTAGGCAACTGTCAAGAATTTCTAGACATATTACAACATCTTAAATCAGCTCATACGGATCATACAAAATTATCTCATACCTCTATGACTGAGCTACTGGAACAACAGAGCTCCCAGAATGCCTCTCGATTCTATAGCGAGCCCGATAGCGACACATCCATATGTCTGCCATCTACTCCAAATACCCACAGACAGACTAGAGGGTTCTCAGGACAGAGATTAAATGGCCCGTCTCCATTTAGTTTTTCAGCTCATCTCTTGGTCCTTTCCTGCTACACGTGCATCCTTGAAGGCTTCGATTCGATATTTACGGCGGTTCTTGGAATGCTTACGGACGGTTCATACAGCCTTGACCTGAACTTAGCGAGCATTCTCCCCGAATTCTCCCTAGGAGGATTCCGCCTGGATGGCCATAACGACCTGCAAATCAAGTGTCTTCTTCATGTTAGCTCCATGGTTTTGGTGAAGATTGAGAATATCATCGGTATTGGTGCAACAGAAGTGGACACACATAACTCAAGAAACGGCCTCTTAAACAACAGGGATCTGGGAGGTCTCCTTGACGCTTTATATTGTCAGAAACAATTTGATTATACCGGGGGTGGTGGATCGCGAGTAGCCCGTGTAAAAGTGACGATGAAAAGCATAGAGAAGATATTAGATTCAGCTTAGTAGACTTATTTTAAGTTTTTAAACAATATGATTGGTCTTGATGTTGGGGGGTGGAGGTTGATTGGCTGGCTAAGTTAACTAGTTTATATGAATTTTATTAATTGACCAATAAAAGGTGAATTATATCCTCTTATCATCAAAAATATGCATCAGCTTGATTCGCAGGCTCGTTAGCGGGTCAGAGCTGCAGGGCTAAGATGGCCTTGCGACTTGGAGGCTGAGGCCTTGCGCAAGGAGATAAATATACGAAGCACGGAGTACAAATCCATCGAATTTTCAGGGACTGCTCGATCATCCTGAAAATGCCCTTTGGTCCCTATTATAGTTACACAGTAGGCTTCATGTGATGGGTTTGGGGACGAGCTCGTCACTTCCATCTCCCGCTCCAACACAGTCTCCCGCAATGCCTGACCTTGTGTCCACCAACACTGTCTTTCTCCATCATCGTGATGGGAGAGTTCCTCAGACATCTTCGTGTTGCATTTGGTCTCGTATTTACTTCCATCGACGATCTTTCTGACGTTTTCTGGCTAGTTATCGGGACCACAGCAAGAGGCTGTGACTTCTCCACAGGTGTCTGAGTCGTGGAGGAAGATCGTCGTGACAAAGCTGAGATTATAGCCAGCTATGCAGCAAATGTAATCCTTCTAAGTGGGATACCATCCAATGGGTATCATGATGCTAGTCGATTACTGCTACTCTTCTCCATAACTATCTCACTTGGTTTGAATATTCTGCGACTTCATCCTCAGGCTGATACACGGGGTACCGGAATTCAAAGCAACAGTACTTATGGAGGCTGGCATCCTTCGAGAACTGCGCCCCGTGCGGTTGCATCATTTGGTAGCTACTGTTCACCTGCGTACCATGGAATTCGGACCTCCTAGTCTCCAACCGATGGTTTCCCGGTTGGATCAAGGGCGTGTAACGACTCTGGCTTCTGTCCCGGAATCGACCTGCATCGAGACTCAAGGACATATTTCTATCTGGCCGGATTCTGTCGACGTAAAAGCTACAGTAACATCATTTGACCGCATTTTGAAGATACCCAGAGCTCATCAACAAGTCAAACCAGCCCTCTGTGCTCGAGAAGTAGCGGGGATGTCATGTACTTGGCACGGCTGAGATCCATTGAGGCATTGATGTCAGATCTTCCATCATGAAGGATTTCAGCCCAGTCAAGTGGTTAGTATGGGGATAAGGTCATGTTAACCGGTGAATTGAGGCGGTAATGATGGGAAGCAAAAAGGTATAAAGGCAGCCTCCCAACCCCAAAGCCAGAAGAACAGAATCAGAACAAACCAAAGAAACTACACCAAAGAGACCTTAGAACGCGATCAATCAATCAAACCCAAACTATTTTCCCTTTACTTATTTACTCTTGACCAATTCCTTCCTCAATTCAAAATGAAGGTCTTTGCATATATCGCCCTTGCCACCGTCGTTGCTGGCGCAAACATCAGAAACCACTTCGGAGATAACTGCAAGGGTGGCTATCTCGATTACCCCAACATTGCCCAACGAATTTGCGCTAGCGCCCTCCATGACAAGATTAAGGGTGCAGTCACTGTTGCCTTCTCCCAGTTGCCCCAACACTCTTATATGAACGGTTATCAAAACACTCGTGACGGCGGTATCTGCGGTTCGCGCCAGAAGCAGCAGAATGTCGGAAATACGGACCACAAGTGTCTGCCTAAGCTGGCCGGTGGCGCCGAATATGCTGGCAGCAGCTGGACTGCTCCTGGGTTCAAGGCTGCGAGCGAGAAGGATATGGAATGCACCGGCGAGATGGCACCTCACGCCCTTGTCCTGAACGACGGACACAAGTATGCCCTCGGTGGTATGGAGAAAGACATGATCAATACGCTCTATAGCATGGCAATCGAAGGAAAGGGCTTCCAGGAGTTGCCAACCGAGTTTGGAGCATTTGAAATCGAGAAGGAAGGTGCCCAGCAGCGCGCTCAAGAGATCAAGGCTTAGAGAACGGATATCTTCCTGGACTCATCAATGACCTGGATGTGGATATAATGTGATCTGACTATATGATAAGCCGTATTAGAGAATGGAGATCTGTGGTTGAGATTATTATTATTATTATTATTATTTTTTCGCATGCTGGGTTTATGTCAAGCCATACATTTGGCATAGAGGTTTATTTATAGTCAGTCATTACAACTAGCAAAGTCTCTCATTAAAAATTTGACATTTTGCATTGAGCCCTCGATCGAAGTTGAACGAGTATTACAATTCGCAAAACTGAGTGTATACCCTCTAGATAGAGTAGATAGCTAACGGCTTGAGTTTCACGTCTTCACTTCCTGCGCTAATCTTCTGATATTCGTCCATCTTCTATAGACTGATAGGCTCTGTGTAAAACAGTAAACGATGCATAACGATACTTGACGTATGCGGTTGACAACTACCAGTAAGTTAGCTGATACATGGTCGACGTTGGTATTCTCCCAAGCCTCCAGCTTAAGGTTAGCCTTAGTTAGGGTTTCCTCCGTCGTTAGTCAACTAGTTAACGCGATCGCGCTAATCTCAAAATTAGCTCGTTTAGCCCGTTGCTAAGATTGGTTAAAGCTATCTTGGCGCCAAGTCTCTATCAAATCCCTTTCTCTGCCGTCCTTGGGGCATTTTGCGCTTGCTCTCTTCTCTCGCTGTAGTTAACTAACCGAGATACTCACTGTTCGACTTGCGGCAGACGGCACGACGATATCCAAGGGTGCGCATAGAGCCGTGTAAAACTCTCAGATGGAACGATGTGTCATTTTGCATGACCTAGGGAGACTCCTTAGAATTAAACTGAATTCAAGGACGTGACTGCCATGGCCGTCAGCTTTGGGTGTTCGATGAGGGACGAAAGGACAGCTCGACCTTCTCTTCCACACAGACTACCTGTAACTAGTTGCACCCCTAGCCGTTTTCGTCGACATATAGAACTGACTGACTGGCTGATTGCTGACTAGTTCACCTCGCACGCTACACCGAGGCTGCCTGTGATTTCCACGGTACGTAAACTGCTGGTGATCGAGTGGAATGCAAGGTCATGCGCGGCCCAGGGGTGACCTGCCACCGCCAGGCTATCACCACTCTCGCCTCCTTGCACGCCCAGGCCATCTGGACGGCGATCCAGGGAGGGAGTTAGTTAGCTGCACATGCTATATACAGCTACATGATTAGGAATCCATCCGTGCGGCCTTATGGCTGCGTAAACTATCGATATACCCCGGCCTCGCTGGTGATGGTGGCGTGCCGGTTATCCCATCAGTTTGACTATGCTCTGGCCAACTAAGTCAGTCAGTTGTGCTGATATCCCGGCCTCCTTGTTTCTCTACACCATCCCAGTCGACGTTACTTGACCAGGTCATCTGGTTGCTTCATCCAGGCCTCTCACCATGTTCTCCCTACCAACTCTGCTCTCATGCAAGTCATTTGAAGCGGGAGTCGGCGATACCCGGGTAGCTTAGACATGCCGCTGTGGTATGATAGCATGTTGCTGATGGGCTGTTTGCTACTACATTTTACGATGCGAATAAACCCTTACACTGGTCATTGCTAAAGGTATAGCTACGTCAGTCAAGGCAAGAAATAAAGTCGTGATATCTGCTATCTATAAATGGTCCTTTTCTTTATTTCGTTGCCCATGCTAAGCGTGCGTCATATCAACCTTTCACCAAGTCTGTAGCTCGAGTTTGCGAAGGTATTTTTTTCGGTTCTCAGTTCATTAAAGTCATCTTTGACGCGAGTATAAACAGGTTCCATGATTCTTTTTTGCTATATGCAAAAACCAAGGGTCGAGGGGAAAGTAAGCGTAGGTAGGGTCCAGAAGGTAGTCAAGTTGATATCAAGTACAAGAAGTGCATACATGGTATATATCTATGGCTCAGTCCAATCAACTTGATCCACGCTGGGGTTTCCGCCATTTTTAGCGTAGCTTATTCTTAGACGTAGTCGAAGCTTTGGGGGAAGAGACTAAGGATGATGTATGTTAATGAAATGTAATGGTACAGTAGACCAAAGAGAAAAACGGGGTTCACTTACGCCAGACGCAGCAGCAATTCTCATTGCCTGTGTGCCCTCGTCACCCCCATCAAGTTCCGATTTGTTGATAGCGCTCAGCTGGAGCTTCTGAGTCTTGGGTACGGCGGCTTGTAGACCAACTCCCGAAAAGCTGTCCAGCGCAGAAGTGTTACGGAATTTGGCAAGTATCTGACATGTTCCAGCACTATTCCTTTGCACCTGAAGAGTTACTTGAAGGTCGTTCTTGTTAAAGACCTCGTGCGCGGAAGGGGATGGGGTGGCGGGAGCGGAAGCTGGAGTTGGCCGTCCCGGTTGGCCGGAAGTAGCCTGCTGTTGGGATGCCCCATTGGAACCAAATAGATCCATAATGTCATTAACGTTTGAAGCCTTGGTAGAAGTGGGTTGTGGCTGTGGTGCTGGCTCTGAGGTACCTCCGCCGAGAATATCAGCAAGAAGGTCTGCGGTATTTTGGCTGCCGTTAGTTTTGCCTGATGTGCTTTCGGTTGGGGGTTCGGAGCCGCCGCCCATGAGATCGAGGAGCATATCTTGTTCAGTGGGCTTAGATGGCTTCTTGGATTTATCCTTTAGCAACCTGCTCTGACGTTTATTGGTCGCTTCACCAAGCACTCGCTGCTCCTCGCGTATTTGTGGCGGTGGCATCCTCTCGAGGACTCCCTGCCTTATCTGCTCATATCCAAACAAATTGCTATACTCCACGGCACGTTGCTGGATCTCCTCGCTCAGATCTGCGGTCTTGGTCTTTAGGAACTTGCGGATTCGCTCAATCTGGGCAGGGTCCGAAATCCTGACTGAGAGTTTCATGGCAGCTGTAGTAATGTATTCGGTCACGATTGGTGTAGCGTATGTGCTGTTAAGGATGTTCATGAAAAGGTCAATAATGTCGCTCTCCTTCACCTCCTTCACAAGCTCCTCCTCCTCATACTGGCCTCCATTGAGGAGAGCATCTCCAAATTCGCCAATAACCCAGGATGCGGCTATGGTAAGACCTTCCTGGGAGATATCTTCCTTCAGCGCTGCGTACAGCTTTTGTACGGAATAAGTTTGAAGGTCGGGCGTGGTAGCGATGAGACGGACGAAAGATGATATGATCTGCTCCTTCACATAGTTTCCAGCAAGTTTCAACGCTCGGAGCATGGTGTCCACATGCCATCTTGGGTTGGGAGCAAATTTGTTAGCTGCGATGCCGATTTGGGTTGTCATGGCGGGCTTAAATTCATTATCAGCGACCTCGAGGAAAGCCAGGAGCTCACGAACAAGTACTCTGACGTTTCCTTCATTGATCAAAGTGAAACTGAGGTCCAGTGCTCGCCGTCGTATGCTGATATCCGGATCTCGTAGGCATTCTAAAATTGTGTTCCTATGTCTCTGAACCGCATTTGGTTCTACAGCAACCACTTTGACTAGGGTATTGAGAGCAACATATCGAATGTTGTTATCCTTGTTTGACAAGAATTTGCCCAAGATGTTAACACCTAGCACGCGAAGGCCAGAGTCGGCTTCGATATCCAGGATGGTCAAAACAGCCTCATACAGAATAGAGTTGCCAACGTTTTTGCTTGATTCAGTGTTCGTAGCCACTTGAGCAAGAATATCATTTATCAGTTCGCTGGTAGCCGCGTCGCCTCTTCCGAGAACTCTCAGGAACCTCAGAATTTTGACCTGCAAGAATGGGTCTGTTATACCCGACACGTCATGTTCAGGGGCATAGCCAGAGGATGTTAAACCCTTCAGCGTCCGCACCAGTCCGGCTGCCATTGGACGGAAATTTTCCACGATTTCTCCGGTGCCCTCAATCTCATCATATTCACAGAATTCGATCGCGAGAGTGAGACCACTCAGCAAAACTCCGTGGTTTCTGTCCACCAAGAGGTTCTTCGCCTTGTCAACGAAATGTTCCAGCAAGTCAGGTACCTTGCGGCAAATTCGCATGGCGCAGAGAGCTGCCTTTCGACGAATGTAAGGGTTTGCAGTCGATATAAGGGATTCTATCTCAGGGAACAGGTCTCGGGACATTTCGACAGACGCAATATTTCCGAGTGTGCATAGTGCAAGGCCAACGACATATTGATTCGAGTGGTTGAGGTCACTATCAGATATAAGTTAGCACTCCGCAGCGACCAAATTGGAGGTAGAGCATCTCCCACTTCTTTAAAGAGTTGGTAACTAGAGTCAGAACTTCCTGGTTCTCGTCTAGCAACAGCATAGTCCCTAGATAGCCCAGCCGTTTGTCGGCGAAGCGTGGTGAGGCAAGCAGTTTCAGGCATTCTATCTGCCCAAAATGTGTTCTTTCTCCTAATGTAAACAGATATAGTAGCTTGGCAACATTGTTTCTCCTATCCCGCTTGTCAGTATCCTGTCAATAGGCCCTGGTCATCCAGGAGCTAAGGAATGTGGAAGCAAGGAGGTATGGAACAGCTGCCTCGTACCGAATGCCAGAGTCAGTGCTGTCCTCTCGGAAGCTTGCCCGGATAGCAGCACTCTCTTTCTGAATAACTGCGCGTTCATCGGCAATGGTTTTAGACGCGCGAACATTGCGGATGAATTGCTTGACTAGAACCTTGATATCAGCGTTTGCAAATGCACGCAAGGGGTTTTGCGGGGCGCCGTACGAGAGGTCATGGTGACGGCGTGGACCCCTAACGGGGAGCAAGCTGAGTCAGGGCAGGTCGAGGGGAGGCTAGGGGCTGTTCAGCATGGAACAGGGCATGAAAATGAGGCCGTCTGCTGCTCCGAATTGATGCTGAATGCTGTTACGGAGGTATCAGCGGCCGTTCTTCGCTGCTCCGTTATCAACGGTCTATGTGGTCGAGTTGGGCCAACATTTGGCTGACTCAGCATTTCCGGGTATATGTTTATCCTCTCCCGTAAACTCGTAGTCAGCTCTTAGTCAGCTCTCTGACGTCAGCGGAGAGTAAAAAAAAAAACAAACAACGGTGATTTGCAACCTCCTGGCCGATCGAATCGCAATGGACAACTCAACCGCAAGGCCGTGGCCTGTAACTATACCTTAAATCCTCCGTGTTGGATACTTATACTAAGCCTCTTACTCCGCCCCAAAACCTGGCAATGGCTGTGTCCTAGGCTCTGTATGCTATTGAACAGCTGATATTTATAATATTCATCTTTATCGTGCCTTTCTGTGGTATTTTATATACTTCATGCCATTGCGACAACATCTGTTCCTCAGATATGGCGCCGACTCCCAATGATTCAGAGGAACCAGGCGTTCTTCGGCCTCGAGCGATGCGCGGTGCAATTGATCCTTTTATAGACCGACCGCATTTGGCCCTGGATAGGACACCATCAAGTCTTTCAAGGTAAATAGTCGTCCGGTAATTTTCGATCTCGTTTGTTGTCGCATTCCGTCCATGAAGACACCTTGAGGTACAGTTGTTCTGACTTGATGTCTCATAGTGGTCGCTCAACTCCGGTAGCAGAAGATGCACCTCCTTCCGTTCACTCAATATCGAATGTTCGGAAGCAGGTACGTGCTCAGGTGAAGCAGCGGATGTTCTACAATATCGATTATCAGCCGCGACTATCACATTTCGATCCCAATAGTGACCATCGAGACTTTCATGGCTTTTTCGTACTATTTTGGATTAGCTTGGTGATTATGGTGATCACCACCGTACTGAGAAACATCAAAGATACTGGATATCCACTAAGAGTCCATGTTTGGTCTCTCCTATCAGCGAACGTGATCGAACTTGCGTTTGTCGACCTGGCCATGGTGGCCAGTACCGCGGTGACAGTGCCACTCCACAAAGCAATCAGGCGCAGCAAGGGTTTACTTAGATGGGGAATGGGAGGCATGATTGTGCAGAGCTTATATCAATTTGCGTGGCTTTCATTCTGGGTCATGTAGGTATACACTCTCTTTCCAGCAATTCGGCTTGCTGGTTAACTCAAGAAACACGAATAACTGACCGAACCAGACTACCATTCAAGCTCTACTGGACATGGACGTCTCAAGTGTTCTTGACCCTCCATTGCCTAGTGTTTTTGATGAAGATGCATTCATATGCATTTTACAATGGACATCTAAGTGAAACTGAGCGTCGATTATCAGCCCTGGATAAACCACAGGCCAAAGCCTACCCAGCTGCAGTCCATTACCCGAGGTCTCCATCCGTAGCTGACGGCGCAAACCCAGCGATTGGCGATGCAGATTCGCCTGATTCTGAACCTGACACTAAACGGGATGTCGGGAAATTGAGAGCAGACCTAGCTATGGAACTAACCTCTCCACTTGGCCGTGTCACCTATCCTCAGAACCTCACTTGGAAGAACTATATTGAGTTCATTTTCTTTCCAACTCTTTGTTACGAATTGGAATATCCACGAACTAAGGATAGAAGCTGGATCGAAGTGCTCATCAAAGCTGCGGCAGTGTTTGGCTGCATCTTCCTATTAACCCTAACCAGTGAGGAATTTATCGTGCCTGTTCTGAGCGATTCCGCATTTAGACTTCGCACAATTCCATCACATTTCGAAAGGGGCTTGATCCTTGCTGAAACAATCAGCATGCTCCTCTTCCCGTTTATGGTGACGTTCCTACTCGTTTTCCTTGTGATATTTGAGTACGTATTGGGGGCATTTGCCGAAATCACACGGTTCGCAGACAGGCGGTTCTACTCTGATTGGTGGAATTCTTGTGACTGGTATGTAATATCTTTAAACCTCTGACGTATCTATATAGGTATTTTGTTATATTATACCGTTACTAAGTATTGTGCTATAGGCTGGAATTTTCGAGGAAATGGAATCTCCCAGTCCATCATTTTCTTCGGCGCCATGTCTACTTCTCTTCACTAACACGCTTCTCAGCTCCGGGTGCAATGGCAATTACATTTCTCGTTAGCTCAATTGCACATGAGCTGGTGTTGGTATGCATCACTAAAAAGTGGCGTGGATACGGCTTTTTTGCAATGATGATGCAACTACCTATCGTGGCAGTCCAGAGATCGAAGTTCGTGAAGGGACGAAAGACTTTTAACGTAAGTCGTTACTCTGTGCGATTAAAAGGATTATTAGCTAATTCTCCATGGAAATTTAGAATATTTGTTTCTGGACATCTATGATCCTTGGGTTATCGTTGGTAAGTATATCACTTCACGGTAGGATGACTACTTCTAGATCCTGTTTACTAATGAAAATCACAGATTTGCTCACTTTATGTTCTTATATAACTGTTCTCATTTATATATACCCACTATACCTCCTATTCGAGGTAGATGGCTCTAGGAGGTGGAGAATTTCAATATATTCAAACATACATTAAACTGTTTATTTATCTCGTTCTCTTTCTGGTTTTCCTTTTTACCCAATATAATGCTTATCTTTGGATGGTATATATTCGGGCTCTCGGTCTATTAGAATTTCTATTTCAGGTTGACATAAAACTGGTGGAATCTTGATAATAACTTATAGGAAACAGAATACAGGCTGTTGAGAAAGAATAATGTAGTTAAATAGAACAATTTAGAGAAACTAGGAGAGAAATAACCGTGTGGAGAAATTGCCTAAATGCTATGATGCGACGATGCAATGAATCCAGGATAGAAAAGTTACATGTCAATTTCCAGCTGTAGACAGAGAAATGAAAGCAAGGTATGGACTAAACCCGAAATTCCAAGATAACGACAGTGAATATGTTAAAAAAAAAAGACCAAAAAAAAACATACTCGCCTTTCAAAAGTCGCACTGAACGCCCATTGATGAACCCAACAAAAATACGCAATATATTCACATTGGCGTATAACCATATCCGGAAGTCTAGGTTTATATATGTTCGATTGGCTCTTCGGGAAGAAGCGGCTCCCGGGTCTCTTCATCACGAGAAGGTAGACAAGCCTTTAATGGTGGAGTAATGATATCGTTGAAAAGGAAAGTTCCATAGACAAGCATGGCGAAACCAAGGACCTGTAGCCACTTGAAAGTCTCCCAGCCGAGACCGAGGGACACAAGCCAGATAAAAAGGGTTCTGGATGTGTCGATAGTGCTTCGTGAAGTTGCAGATAGGGAACGTGTGACACTGAGGCCGAAGAAGTTGAAGCCCCTGCAAAAAGTGAGTTAGTAAATGTGAGGTCATTAGTCTAGGCAAAGTTGTATGACATACCCGATACTGATCATGATGAGGATGCTGGTTATAGCAACAGTCTTGTTGCCAGTCATGCTCCTCCACCCCTCGACAGCGTCAAAGTATCCAAGCCTGCCACTCTCAGTAACACCAACGGTAAAGTGCAAAATGACCATTGCCAAAGCAGTGACCAGGAATCCAAAGATTCCTTCCCAGCCAACAACCTTCAATGGATCCATGGCATATTTCTCAAGGATCCATTCCTCCAACACGAACTGCGAGGCAGTAAATATTTGAGCAAAAGCAATCAAGAAAACACCTAAAACAACCCGGAGAGGGTCGACGTGCTTTTCAGCCGATGTAATAATTTCACCGGCCCGTCTGATCAAAGCTACAACTGCATCAGCGTCGCCAGGCACGATGTCCACCGGGGGTTTATGATGGTCAGGGAAGATGGCACCAGCCAGGCCAACTAGAGCCACACCGAGAACGACGCAGACCAGTGCAAACCATTGATAAAAATATAGCCTTCGTTTGAGGAAGACGACGCTAAACAAGCCAACGAACAGAACGAGGGCACCACGAGTCATCTGGTAGATACTTGCAACGACGAATAGAAGACCGACATTCATCAGCGTGGTGCCGGTGATGTCACAGCAAGCTGGTAGAGCGAGAAGCAAGACCTTCGTTCCACTCAGTTGTGTTCTTGTATCTTCCTCGGCTTTATGTATGTCACCGGGCTCGTCATCAGCCTCGTCGGCGTTATCGATGGACTGGTATCCGTCTGTAAATAGTGGTGCGGCGGAGGAGAATCGAGGTGCGATGAAGCCCTTCCAGATGTCGATGCAGAAAAGGACAAGCCAGCATCCCATTTCTCCCACAAACATCTGCAGCCTGTTCTCATAGTCAGTCATGAACAGAATGTCCTCGACAAAGTCATCGTAGGTATAGCAAGGGAAGAGCGTACGTCTGGAGAACCGGCTGCTCAAAGGCAACCCGTTTGCTGGGATCCGGTGAGTCACAGTTCCTCACACATTGCATATCCTATCACTTCTATCAGTTATAGTTCTATTCAGCTATTCGGACCCGGGCAGGAGACCTACCTGATACTTGGTTAGGAGGGTATTGCAAACCCCCGTCACCAACATCATGGTGACGAGGAAAGGAACAAGAGCCCTGGGGACCATGGTGGCCAGTCCTCCTCTGCTCCTCTAGCAAGACTTTAGTAAAATACAATAGTGGCCTGTGTTCTTCTTCTTCTTCTCCTGGCTGGTTAGTACAGCCAAAAGAGAGCAAAGAGGCGGTGGTGATAGCGTGCTTGTCGAGGTTGCGGTCTTTGTGAACCGCCGGAGCTGGAGAAAGCTGGGGGCTGCGCCGAGCCTCGATCTTTCGGCACGCGACGAAATGCAAAGTGACGAAACTCTATTTTGGGACGCAAAGGGCTTTATCACGTGATATGAGATAAGGTGATCAGCTGACCTTGGCGAGTGGATGCGCCAAGGAAGTTTAAATGGATCACGTCAACAAAGTTATCACGTGTGAGGTATATTACGTAATATATAATCAATGCCTTCACAAAGACAAGGGAATGAAAGGATCGTTTTGGGGTATCAAAAACAATTGATTCTTCGAGGCTAGTATACAAAACGAACAAGCGTATATCTCTGGTACATGGCAGATATTAGAAAGCGGTGGTTAACGGAATATCTTATTAGTCAGTGTAACGGCCGTGTATAGCTCACCTGCCGGTATTAGCCCGTCTGCTCAACGAAACCAAGTAAACAAAAACCATAACGCGGGCAGCATGATTATTAGTTAAACAATGTCCAGGTGAAGAAGCTGGTAGTATCAAAACCGGGGGAATGCAAGCAAGATATTACTTATCGTAGTTAAAGCAGTAATTAAGAGCTTGGAGGTATCAGAAAGACCAGAAACGCCTTGCTGTAATGAAGAATAAAAAACAGAGAATTAGGGGAAGCCAAATGGAGGCTTGCAGAAGCCATTCAAACCGGGCACGATATTGCAAAAACTTAAAAAATGAAACGAAACCAGGAGGGAAATGAGAAGCACCCATCCTAACCAACGAAAGGAAATATATATATTTTTTGAATTTGCCAATCCCATTCCTCCGTTCCTTTACCACCAATAATCCCAGGGTATTATTTCAACGAAATCCAATTAGCCGGTTCCTTTGAATAGCAATATAGTCTTTTATGCGGCGGTCAACACCAAAGCAAACGATGAAAAAAGGGGGAAGAGTAGAAAGAGCAAGGAGTGAAGAGCAAAAAGTAGAAAAGTGGATTGACGCCAAGCTCTGCGGCCAGATTTAGATGGAGTAGATGGGCCGCTCAGGTCGTAGCTTGGAGGAGTTATCGGTAAAGTTGTCGTTTAGTTCCATTGCGTCCCAGTTGACGCTTTGCCATCCATCGTTGGTGAGCATATCATCGTCTAGATGATCCGGGAGATTGTTCCAATCGAGTGGCATCCAGTTATCCGTGTCCGTACCCATTTCTTCGTCCTTGATTTCACCATCTCGTGGAGTTTGCATCATTGCAGACGAGGCGGATGCTGGGGTGTCGTCTGGTGGCTGGTGGCGTGGACCAGAGGAGTATTCTTTGGCAGGTGCGGTCTCAAAGAGTTCATCTGTAAGAGCTTGGACTCTTTCTGCAATAACATCGTCCACGGGGTCGGTGACGAGGCCGCAAGAGGTTTCATCGCCTATCTCGGTGAAAGCGGTGCGGATCATCTCCCTAGATATGGGGCTATCGGACCAGGCATCCTTAGTGGCGGCAGATGCCTCGAGAGACGTGGTAGGTGCGGTGGCTTCCTTCTTATCTTTGCTTGCGCTAGCGGAGCCCTTAAGGATAGACGATTTCTCCTGCTGAGATGGTGAAGGCTTCATTTCTACTGAGCTTGGGCCAGTGATAGCAGGTGCGGCCCTCGTATCGGCTCCATTATGCTGGTTCGCGGTCTTGCTAACACCGAGACCCATCTTGATGCTTTCAAGCAGGTAGTCAAGAGGATTGTCGATAGGTTCTTCAGCCGAATGCGTCTCCTGAACATGCTGGTCCAATGCTGCTTGGGATGGGAAGCCTCTGAAGCGCTGTGAACAGTCGCTGACTTTACATCTAAACACTTGTGTTGGGGGAGTTGCGTTCTTGGTAGCGGCCACCGGTGTAGTCGCAGGGGGAGTGGCCTTGAGCTGCTGGTTCTTGCTGGCAGGAGACTTGTTGGTTTTAACCGGCGACTCGTTGGCAGGCCTCTTCATCTTGCGTTTCTTCGTCTCCGGGATCACAAGGTTATCTTTGGTTACCTGGTGGGGACCGTAAGCGCGCGGGATGCCTTGTGGAGATGTGGCGCCGATCTGATATGGCGGTTGTCGGGTAGTGGGGGCGGTTGGTGGGATGGAACTTTGAGATTGTCCTCGCCTGGCGCGCTCTTGTTGCTCAAGCTGCTGGAGATTCACTGCGTTCAGAGGTACGTTGGGTGTCTGTGGGCTGGCAGTGCCTCTTCCAGCATTAGCGGCTGAAGGTGCTTGCTGTGTCTGTAGGAGCTGAGCCTGTGCCTGCTGGGCTTGCGCTTGCTGCATCTGCATCTGGATTTGTTGCTGCTGTTGTTGCTGTGTCTGTTGCTGTTGTTGTTGCTGCTGTGGCTGTTGACCTTGCTGAGGTTGCTGCATTCCCTGCTGGTTCTGTGGATTTTGTCGGCGGGAAAACATGGCTGCGTAACAGCGTTGGATAAAACTTAGAGCATGGTGAACGAAATCATGCTTGCAAGTAAGCTGATCGGCGACGGTCCAGTCATTCGGCTTGAATTGCTTCATTAACTTCACCCTCTAGTGAATAGTTAGCAATTGCATCATCTCAAAAGAAACGGGGGTGGAGGAACATATAAAAAAATATAGGCGTACCATTTGCAACAGCATTCTCAGGGAGCGATCCTGCTCCCTAAATTTGGCAAACCAAATGATCAATGCATCCAAGTTAGCAATCATATCAACTCCATCTCTAAGCTTCTGAGATGCATCGGCGTATTCGACAGGAGTCATGGGTACGGGGGCAAATTCGGTATCATTCCGAACTTCGTCTTCGTACGCTCGCTTAATGGGCTCGGGAAGCCGAGACCAAGCTTCGGCAGTTGCCTCTCTCGTGCGTCGATGGGTTAAGTTGGGCATTTGAGGCTGGCCTTGAGTCGCCAGTTGCGCTTGGCGGCGAAGATGCGCTTCAACCTGAGCTCGTTGTTGAGGGTTCATGGCTGCAAGGTTCATAGGATTAAACTGTGACATGGGGATAGGCATTGGCCTAGCGTTGGAGTTCATTTGAGAGTTAGAGTCCATTGCGCCAAGTCGGGCTTCGGTGTCAGACGGGTTGGGCCGTTTCAAGCCCTGAGGCGGAGCGGGGACAGCAGCGGGGACAGGGGCTGGCTTTGTAGTTGGAACGGGTCGCTGCTTAGCCGATGGAGGAACAGTCGTAGGAGCTGCCGTGGGCTTGACCAGGGGTTGGGTAGAGTTTGGTTGAGAGATGCCGGGTTGCATTGGACTGGAGGAGATGGGTGGTTGCATGTTTTGCAGTTGCGACTGTTGCTGCTGCTGCTGCTGCTGAGAAGTTGGAGGATATTCGGGAAGGACTCCTAGGCCAACGTTTTGCATAGGACCAGCCTGTGATTGCTGCTGTTGCTGCTGCATTGGTTGCTGCTGCTGTTGTCCCTGAGCCATGAACCCCTGAGCCTGTTGCAGCTGAGCCTGGTTTTGAGGTTGGCCCGGTGGGATGCCACGGGCCTTGAGTATCTGTTTCTGTCGGTTTCTTTCTAGAATGATTCTCAACGCTTCATCACTAAGCTTCTGCGCTCGTGCACCTAGCTGTTGCCGTGCTATCTGTACGTCGTTCAAGGTGACAGGCCGCAAAATTCCCGGTGGCAGTTGCCCTGGCTGGCCTGGTTGACTGGGTTGTTGTGCAAGCTGTCCCATTTGCCCCGGTTGTTGCCCTGGTTGGGTAGTTCTGGGCTGTGGTTGGAAACCCTGCTGGTTGAAGCCTGGAGCCGGTTGCTGAGCATTTGCATTCTGCTGTGGTTGAGTTTGTTGCTGGGGTTGCTGTTGCGGCTGTTGGGGTTGTCCTGGTTGTTGGAAAGGTGACTGGAGCTGCTGAGACATGAAGTTCTGTCCATGTCCTTGTGCAGCTAGTTGTGCCTGCGCCTGCGCCTGCGCCTGCGCCTGAGCCTGAGCTTGAGCCTGAGCCTGAGCCTGGGCCTGGGCCTGAGCCTGGGCCTGAGCCTGAGCCTGAGCCTGAGCCTGGGCCTGGGCCTGAGCCTGGCCCTGAGCCTGGGCTTGAGCTTGGGCCTGGAATCGAGTAGCGAACTCCTTCTGCAAGCCATGGAAATGCATTTTCTGGTAAGCAAGCAGTTTCGGCAGTGTAAGCTGGCCCATGGCCTGAGGATTCTGGCTAGCCCACTGTTTGAGTTGACCCCATGATTTGAGGGCTTTGGGGACAGGGGGAGGATTTGGCATCCCTGCCATACCGGCAGATATGACACTTGGGGGGAAAGGAACACGGTCCATATCACGAATTTGATCCTCGGAAAGTTCCCGGGCGGCTTGCTGCATATACTGCTGACGGGAGAGGTCTGCCTGAGACTGAGTTTGAGCCTGGGGTTGAAACGGTGATGATTTAGCGTGCTGGATGGGTTGTTGAGATTGCGGCATGCCTGGTTGTGGCTGCTGCTGTGGCTGTTGTGATGTTTGTGGATGCATGGGTACTCCGCCGGGACCCATGAGATGTTGTTGCATGCCCATAGCATTATTGCGCATGTTCGGGTCCGCGCCGAATTGCAGGCCTTGATTGAGATTCTGAGGAGGTTGATTTGGGTCAACGGGCTGCTGCTGGGGTGGTTGACCTGGCTGAGGGACCTGGTTCTGCCCGGCCACGCCTAGTTGGTTGGCACGGTTCTCATTGGCCGCCTGTTGGAGTCGTATTTGTTTGGAATAATTCCCGAGAAAAACATTTGCGTCCTGCGGAGACATTTGTGACATCTGGTCGCGGATAGCTTGGGGTACATTAGAATGATTTGTAGGACGGGCTGCTCCGCCGGGCTGGGGTGGCTGTTGCTGCGGAGGTTGAGCGGTGGGATTAGCGCCCATAGGCATGGTAGGAGTTGCTCCTTGAGGCGGTAGCTGCTGTGCTATCTGAGATGGCTGGTTTGGCTGTGAAGACATGGCTAGCTGGTTGTTCATGCCAGCTTGGTTCCGTGTCTGGTCAGGCTGCAGCTGGAACTGAGGACCTTTGCTCATTGCGTTTTGTCGCTGTTGCTGTTGCTGCTGTGCAAGAAGCGCTGGATTCATAGTAGGCCTAGTTCCTGGTTGTTGTTGTTGTTGTTGTTGTTGCTGCTGCTGCTGCTGCTGCTGCTTCTGGAAGCGCTGCTGAGCCTGAGCAGCGGCAAACTGGGGGTTAAGCATAGTAGCATTTGGTGGATTGGCAGTCGCAGGCACCACAAGCTGACCTGCCTCTTGCGAACGCAGACCATCTTCCTGTTGCCCCTGGATCTGGTCGACACTGCCGTTAAAAGCAAGATCTGGCTGGCTGATGGGGATGTTGTGCTGCTGCATTCCCATCATGGGCTGGCCAGCCATCTGGGCCATCATCGCGGCCTGCTGTGCGGGATCCATACCACCACCTGGCTGTTGACCATGGCCAACCAAGCCCATGCGTTCCAGCCGCCGTCTCCTGAGCTGGGCGAGGGCCTGTGATCTGAAGAAGTGGGCAAGCGGGTCTATTCTCTTTTGGGCGAATATCTCCTTTTGCTCTGGAGGCATGTTCTGCAGGCTCATCTTGATCTTTTCGAGGTTTTCGGCTGAGGTGTTGCGGGCCATCTGGTCTGCCAGAGCGTTGACATCTTGGAGTTCATTAGGCGCGAGACTCCCCAAGTCCTGGAGCATACCGAGTCCCTGGCGAGGCTGTTGCTGCTGCTGCTGTTGCCGGGCAAGCTGCTGCTGGATGAATGGCGAGGCCTGTGTCTGCTGTGGATGCATCTGTTGGAAGTTCATACGCCCGTTTGGCACCTGACCGGGGAGTGGTGAGCCCTGCATTGGCTGCTGCGTCTGCGACTGTTGTTGTTGTTGTTGCTGTTGTTGCTGCTGCTGCTGCTGACGTTGTTGCATTGCAGCAAGCAGGTTCATCTGCGAAGGGGGAATTTGCATGCCTCCATTCTGCTGCTGCTGCTGCTGCTGCTGCTGCTGCTGGTTTGCATGCTGCATCATGCCATTCTGCATCATCATGGCCTGTTTCAGTCGAGACTGATGGATTGTGTTGTGTTTCTCATTCACTAAGCGTTCATAATCGGCCTATGGAGGCGTTAATTTCTCACTGTTATCATGAAAGAGGAAGAAGAGGAAGAAGAAGAAGACTGGTGTACCTGCTCGTTGGCCTCCCGAAAGGTCTGTTCTTCGAATCTGAGGCCCGCATTAATGGTCTTGCCGACCTCGCAGAGTGGCTTTGCTAGACGGAGGGCGGATATGCTGCAGTCGCGGAGAGAAGGAAGTGTGAGCCTTTTTTGGAGTTTTGACGAGCGAGCGAGCGAGAGAGAGAGGGAGAGAGAGTGAGAGTGAGAGAGAGTGGGAAGAGGACCGAACCACGGTACCGCGCACCAAACGCCCGGCCAGTCATGTCGTCATCCACCACCCATGAGAGAGCAGATGAATAATAGCAGTCAAACACACGAGAGACGACGGAGACTGGCCGGGTCGTAGGGCGTTGCAGACAGGCTGGTAGGCAGCAGAGAAAGGGGAGAAGCACGCACATAGTCATGGCCTTGAGGGCACGTTCTCGCACGGGGAAGGCCTCTCGCCAGCCGGTAAAGGGGCCCTGGGGCTGCAGCGCCTGCACCACGAGCTTGAAGAGGGCCTGGTTGTCCGGTTTCTGGACGGGCTGCGGCTTCGCGCCGGCCGCGGGCGAGGACAGCTGGTGGAAGGAGTTCATGGTGAGACGGGCCGCAGGAGGAGGCGGTGGAGGAGGAGGAAGAGGAGGAGGAGACGGTGGTGAGACCGGGCGATGCGAGCGGGTGCCAGCTGCATGGACAAGAGAGGCCGTCGAGGTCAGGTCAGGGCGGGCTGGGTCGAGCTGGGTTGAGCTGGCCTGGCGCTGGCGATGTTGAAGTCGTAGAGGGCGAGGAGGATGTGCGGATAGAAGATGTAGGTAGATGTAGTTAAGAGGTTGAGGTGGTCGAGGCGGACGGGGATGGGCGAAGGTGAAACGGGGCTTGCTTGGGCTGGGCGTTTTGAGGCGTCTCTGTCAGCGCCTGACCAGTCGACAGATGATAAGAAGATGATAATAAAAGAAGAAGAAGAAGAGAAGAAGAAGAAGATAATGATGGTAATAAAGACTACGCCGTGAATGCTGGATGGACTCTTTCATCTGCCCAGCAGTCACGCTGCGGTGGTGGACTCTCCCTGCTTTCACTCTCTCTCACTAGTTACTGCTATTATTCACTCTCTCTGCTGTCTCTGTCTCTCTTATTCTCACTCTTACTCCTAATAATCACCGTTTCACCTGCAGCCTCAGCTCTTCCTGCGCCGTCTTGCTGCCCTTGCTGCCCCTTATTAATCCTGACTCTGCCGCTGCCTCCCTGGCCGCTGCTTCTCCTAAGTCGACTCCTTTTCTCCTCCTCTCTTCCTTTTCTCCAGCGACTCTCGACTAACTAACACGTTATTTATTCTACTTGGCTAAAATCGACTAAAATAATCTATTTTAACTAACAATTCTTTATTTTTCTTCGATATAAAAAGCAAAAAAGCGACTCCAGAAATTCGATATCACGTGACGGAGATGGGCTTCAGGTTTTCCCTTTTAGGAAATATAGATCACCTTTCTTCAACTTCAACTTCAACTTCTACGACTTCAGCCTCTTTAACAACTTCTACAGCTTCTACGACTTCTAACGACTTCTACAACAACCTCTTTAACAACTTCCTCTACTGAAAGTCCTAGTAGATGGACTGATGGCGACGCCGGCCAGCTCGAGCGTGTTCGTGGCGCTCTCGCTCGCGGCCATCAGCCTGCTCGTTCTCGCCCTGCTGCGGCGCTTCCTGCCCCTGCGCGCGACTCCGGCCTTCGTCGTGCTGCCCGTCTTCCTCGCTCTCGCCCTGCCCGCCAGCACCGTCCTGCTCGTGCCCATCGACCTCGCCTCCAGCCCGCCAGACGGCCGCGCGCCCGCCGGGATATGGCTCTCCTCCCGCCTCATGCTCGTCTTCTGGCGCATCACCTACTGGCTCACCTTCGTCCTCACCTGGTACAGCTTCCCTCTCACAGCCTTAATAACTGGTACTCTTAATACCGACTGACTGACTGACTGTTACAGGGCTATTCTACCTTTCCTAGGGGAGTATCTCGACTCCGGCCACAGGTCGCCCCGGGAACGCATGCTCTACTCCCTCCGCTCCAACGCCCGGTACCAGCTCATCGTGCTCTGCTCCGGCCTGCTGGGCCTGATATACCTTGCTCTCACCCATGAGCTGCATTTCTCCTCTCTCCGCGGACTGGTCATGGCCCTCGCCTACGCCTGGGGCCTGGTGCTAGCCATCTACCTGCTCGGCCACGGTCTGGTCGCCCTGCCTCGCAAGATGTGGCGGGCGGCCTGGACGGGCCACAGGCTGCGCAGGCTGCAGCAGCGGGCGGTCCGGGTGCACGATGCGCTCGTCGAGGCCGGCGGGAAGCTCGAGGAGCTCAGGAGCCTGGTCTCTCTGCTGCGGCGGAAGCGTGGGCTCAGCCTCGAGATGCAGGAGCGGGTGGACGAGCTGGTTGACGTCGTTGCTGCTGCTGGCCAGGGTCAGGATGTGCGACGAGGCGGGCCTGCTGCCGTTCAGAGTCTGCAGAGCGAAGGGAGAGCTTCAGTGCCGCATGTCATTACTGACCGGTACATGGCGGGCCTGACCAGAGACCTCTACCGGGCCAGACACAAGCACGCCAGATACGCGGATGCCTGGTCCCGTCTTGTCCGCGAAGCTCTCGACTGCCAGACCATACTCGACGCAGCAACATCAAAGCAGCTGGTCTTTGACTCTCGCTCGTCGTTGTCACCGTCGTCTTCTGGCTTTGGCCCTCTGTTGACTCCGTATCTTCGATACCTGATATATACCCACCTCCTGCCGGCCATCTACATCTGCCTGGCTGCCGTCTTCGCCTGTCTGTCCGTCTGCATCCTCTGGTCAGAGCTTGTCCGCACATTCTTCCCCTTTCTCTCCATCGTTGCCCTCACGACACCTTCGTCCGAGCCTGTGGGCTTCCCTTCCCAGCTGCTCACCTCAGTCTGGCTTCTCTACCTCTGTGCTGCCGCCGGGACGGGCATCTCAGACGCTCAGGTATGGGGTAACCGGGCCCTTGTTCCACGCAACACCTACCACGAGTCCGCCTGCTGGTACGCCGGCCAGGTCGCCCGACTCACCGTTCCTCTGGCCTACAACTTCCTCACTCTCTTGCCCACAGACCTCCAACTACGGACGACCTTCTACGACTTTCTGGGCAAGGGAATCAACCTGACCCTGATCGGAGAAGGCTTCGACCTGTTCTTCCCGCTGTTCATCCTCTTACCCGTTGCTGCCACGGCATTCAACCTCTACGGCAAAGTCAAGGGACTGGTGGGCTTGGGAGACATGGAGATCTACGACGAAGACGAGGAAGACAACCCGTCCGGCTTCGGGACTGGTGGGTGGCGGGAGGGCCGCTCCCTCATCGAAACCGAGTTGAATGGTCCAGGGTACCTTGGCCTGTCCAGCACCAGCAGAACCCCCAGGAGCAGCACCACCAGCAGCAGGACGGCCGCTCACCGAGCCAACCTGCCCGACACCCTGCCACGCTACAGAGACGCACCACCACCAACGACACCCAGTAACAGAGGCACCGCTGCTGCTGCTTCTGCTGCTGCTGCACCTGCACACACTTCTGCCTCTACTTCTGCTCCACGGCCGGTAGACGGAGAGGAAGACGAGGAAGACGAGGAAGACGAGGGATTCTTCCAGTCGTTTGCCCACCGCGTCCGCAACACCATCGACACCGCCAGCACGCCCAAGTGGCTGCAGGACGTCGACGCAGGCTTCAAGCGGCCGCGGTGGATGGGCGGCACCAACGACGGGGATGCTCCTGGCCCCTCCTCGTCCTCGCCATCCACCGACTCGTCCGCCTTTGCCAGATGGTTCGGCGGCGGCGGTGGTTCTGGTGGAGTGCGGCTCTAAGCTGGCTTCCCCTGCTAGTTATACGAAGGGCCTTCCTTTTTTTTTTTTTTTTTTAACTCTTTCCTTTCCAGCGATCATCTATCGTATACTCACAAACACACTGCATTGCACGGCGTCTTCTTCTCTTCCTCTTTCTTCCTTTTGCTACTCTTGTTAATATATATATTATATATATCTGCATATATCTTCTTCTCCCTGTTGATAGAAACTCGCCAGACGGGCGCCACCGCAGAGCCGCATGTGTTATTCGTAGACTCTTCTTCGCCTGCTGGGCATGCATGCAACGCCTCATACGTGTCTCGCCGCTACTTGACTGTCGATAATTGAATTCACGCAGCCGTCGCCGGCCTTGTCCTCTTTCTTTGCTTCTTCTCTGTCATCTGCTTCGTCTCCTCCGTCTTTCCTGCGAGCAAACCGCGAGATCGCCGCGAGCTACTCTGGGTCCCCGCCGTCGCCTTCATTGGCAAGCATCTCGCTCGCCTGCATGGCCAGCAGCTAACTAGTGTCCCTCCATCTTCTTCTTCCTCTTCTTCTTCTTCTTCTTTTTCTCTTCTTCTTCTTCTTTCTCTTCTTCATCGCCGTCGTCTTCTTCGCCGCTGTCTTCCCTGCCCCAGGCAGTCATCATGGCCTCCCGCCGCGGCCACCGGCGAAGCGGCCTCTGGGACCTCCCCCTCGACCACCACGACCTCTATGCCTCCTCCCCTTACTACTCCTCGCCCGCGCCCTCCTCCCCCTACGACCCCTACGGCTACGCTGCTCACTTCGACCCTTACGGCCCCGGCACCCCCAGCAGCAGCAGCAGCAGCAGCAGCAACAGAAACAACTACTACCTGACGACCCCGCGAGTCTACAGCAACGGCGACATCAGCCAGGCCGAAGCCCGCATGCGCGCACAACAGCTGGCTGCGCCCTCTCCAGAGGACGGCGAGCTGCCAGACATCCTCATCTTCAAGTACCAGAACGAGTCCTGGAGCTTCGAGTTCCCTGCCTTCTCCATCGACGACGACCGGCTGTGCGTCAGCGACATCCGACGGCTGGCCGGCCAGACCCTCAACATCGCCGACATCAGCAGGATAAAGCTCATGTACAAGGGCCGCCTGATGACCGACGACGCCGCCAGTGCAAAGTCGCAGGGCCTGAAGCAGTTTTCCGAGGTCGTGGCGATCGTCATGCCGGGCTACACGAAGGGTGTTTACGGTGGGAGCAGCGGCTTGATCGACGGATGGCGCGAGGCTCAATTGATTCCCGTCTCTGACAGCGAGGAGGACGACGAGCAGCCGTCCCTGCGACCACCACCGCCGCCGCCACTGCAGAAGTCACAGCAGCAGCAGCAGCAGCAGCCGTCGTCGTCGTCGTCGTCGTCGTCGTCGTCGTCTGCTTCACGGCCACGGCGGCCGCCGAAGGTCAAGATTGAGGTCAGAGACGACGATGAATCAGAGGACGAGAGGTACTACTACAAGCCGTCGCCCGTTCGTCGAGGCCGGTCACCACCCAAGTATGTCCCCCAGGAACGAAGGAAGTCTGTCCGCCGCGAGCGCAAACCAAGAGACCCGTCGCCCGTCTCCCCTGATCGAAAGCCCCGGCGGCGGCCAGTACAACAACAGCAACAACAACAACAACAACAACAACAGCAACCTCCTGTGCAGCCAGTCCAGCCAGTGAGAGTGCCCGTGTCGGCTAAGGAACCCATATCTCCCCGGGAAAAGATCTACGCTCGCCAGACCCGGCCGCCATCACCTCCAAAATCTAAATACCAATACCCAGCTGTCCCTCCGTATCCATCCCCGCCTCCAGCCGCATATGACCCGCTGCCAAACATCTGTCGAGAGCCACGGCCATACGCAACCTCTCATCCTTCGCCGTCCGTCAGCAGCACCGTCAGCTCATCGACTTACACCTCAGACTCGGCCTCTACGGCTGCCTCGACAGCGGCATCTGTTTCTCCCACCGTGCCCACATCCATACCTACTTCTACTAAACCAAAACCAAAACCAAAGGCCAACAAGACATACTCTGTGCCTAACCGGCCGCCTACCCCCTGTCCTCCCTTCCTTGCATCCCACTCCACATCTGACAAGCTCACCATCTTCGAGAAATATGTAACTGACAAGCTGATACCGCTTTGCACTCGGTTCATCATGCACCCACCTGCAGATGCACGAGCGCAGAACAAGGAGCAGCGAAGGCTAAGTGAGGCAATGGAGCGGGTTCTCGCCAGGGCAGATGAGATTACCGTTGGTTCGTCGCGGCCACTGAGAGATCGCAGGAAGGCTGCCGTGCAGATGGTCCAGCGCTTCCAGACCAGGATCGACGCCATGATCGTCCCTGAGTAAGGTTCAGCTGCAAGAAGAGGTGGATTTATAGGGTAATTTGATATTAATATGCCGGAGTTGGGTTGGCAGTTTAATCCAGGGGTGCATTTGATAGATAGATGGCATGGCATGGCATACCATATGATGATATGGCATGACATGGTACGAAGTTACGAATCCTCCCCCGCAAAAGAAAAAAGGAAAAAAGACATTTACACGACGTGATGACTATCTACTTTTAACTACTCTTCTCCTCTCCATTCTTGTCTCCTTACCGTCTTTACTTGCTTCATCATGTTCTATCATATCAAGTCTCACAAGGGGGAAAGGGAAAAAAAGAGGAATATCCAAGCCAACTTTGCATCAACTGATATGACTGATATTCATTCGTCTTCGAATTCTGTAAGCAATACATGCTTCAACCAAGACATTCTCTACTTCTGGCCATGCTGGCTTTCCTGCTTCTGATGACCACTCTGACTCTGCCCTTTGTCTGTTGCATTCGCATTTTTGTCGTCCTTGGGTTGCTTCTGCGAGTTCGTGTCTTCTCCTCCAGGCTTAAGAGACTCTTGTTAGCCATCCTCACATTTTCAATACATTTTTTGAATGCTGATATCGAGATATTTTTTGATAAAGCCGTCCTTACCTTGGAAGACGTAATGCGCGAGATGTCCTCCTCGCTCACTGGGATGACGGGCATGCTGCTTTGGTTATGGCAAGACTCTCTCTTCAGCAAATATTGTCTGCGTCAAACGATCAATTTGTCCTTGTAGGATGCCTTTCCTTTGATGCCGTCTGAACGGTTATTATACAGGCTGCCATTTTGGTGGCAAATAATTATGACGTACGTAGATTGGCAGCTTTTCTGGCAGGCGTGAACATGCAGCAATAATGTCAACAAACAGACGGTCATACAGATGATCCTTCTGTGTCTATCTAAGCTTCCAGTGTTGGTTGGATTGTCGTTTAGCAGCGTATTATAATTGTAGTAATATTGTTGTCGAGTCTTCTCTTCCTGTATATCATCTACCGTCAGCCAGATTCATCTCTACCATTCATAATTCAGCTAGCTAGCGGCTATCAGCTACTTGAAAAAATATGAATCGTCATTACCTCTCACGCGAACTTGGCCGGGGGGAAAAACTCCTGTACGTCGCACCTCGACGTCAGGAAATACACGGACCCCCGAAAAGGGGTTTTGCTATGCTCTACTCCAAAGGCGCCCCTGGAATCTTTCTGCTACTCGCAAAACCCAACTTCACCACTCGCCCCAGCGTCATTATGCGTGACCGGGATCCAGACACTGAAGCAAGGGTATCAGAAGCATTCCTACAGAGTCCCAGTAATATATTCAGGTTAATGCCTGTCAGCCTGATGCAAATGATCATCGGGAATCTACACATAATCGATGCACTCCATTTCGGGCTTACTTGCACAGACGCCTGGTGCGCAGTATGGCCTACCCTCAAGAAGTTCAGCCTCAGTTCTCTGGGTACCTGGGCGGGTACACCCATATTCTGCGGTGCAGAGGGAATAATGGAGTTGGAGAGCATTGAACCGCCTGAGCTGCCTACGGGAGACTGGTACGTGCGGAGAGTAAACAGACTGCTTGAAGGTCGGTCAATCGATAGGATTCGTCTGAGAAGGCGATCCACATTCACACAGATGAACGGCCAGCGAGATGGGATCCCAGACCGACCAACAACGAATCCAAGCCAACCGGCTGGCCTTGCGGGTGGCTTTGGGGTATCGCATGCCGTATTTAACACGTCATCGCGTAACCGGCGGAATGTCATATCGAATCGCGTACCAAATGACCAACGGAATGGCCTATCGAATGGCCAACGGAATGGCCGACCGAATGGGACCAGCCCAGAAGGGCCGTCACAGCCGGTCACGGGCCATATGAACGCCGATATGCCGGATCGAACAAATGGACATAGTATTCATCATAGGCAGCCGAACGCAGCTCCTAGATCGAGATCTTCGGAACGTGCTCAACAGCGAGCCAATGTGAGCTACTCAGACCTGTTTAGTACATTTGATGGGAATAATCCATTTGGCAATCATCCAAGCCACCCGCATGGGGTTGCCCATAATCATCCGAACGGTATCCCTTTGAACCAAGGAGTCCGTGCAGATGGTGTCGTTTCAGCCCGACAGAATTATAGGGAAGAACTTCGACGAGATCAAAGGACCCGTCAAATTTTGCTTGAATTAAGGAATATGTCCAATGGAGCGAACAGGACAAACGGGACAAACGGGACAAACGAGGTAAACGGGACAAACGAGGTAAACGGGACAAACGAGGTAAACGGGACAAATGAGGTAAACGGGGCGAACGGGGTGAATGGGACGAACGGGGTGAACGGGGTGAACGGAGTGGACAGAGTAAATGGGAATGTTCCAGTACACCCATCGGGCTCTGGCGCACACAGGACATTGACGAGAATAGAATCACTTCCAATCTTCGTTCATCAGGCCTGGGCCTTTTTCAACCAGACCAGAGATGTAATCAATGACTGCTTACCTACCGATCTCCTTTTGCCAGCCAATGCATATATCAGGACCGGCGCCTACTACCCAGTTGACCTGTTGACTATCATTAACCCTTGTCCAGCGAGCCTCTACCGCACCGAGCCGGGTGACGAATGGGTCCTTAGAAGCCTGACGGCGCGCCAGTATGTTCGCTCAACCGCCATTGCTTTGCATCCTGGATACATCAAAGGACCGTTTATCATGGGCATCGGCTTTGGCGAAGTCGTCTTCGCCATGACCGTGTGGACTCATACGAGCAGGGGCCGCTGGGCTGGTCATAGCCTAGATATCATTCTTCTAAGCCAGCTAGAAGAAGACGGCGGCAATTGGGAGGACGTAGGAGACTATGTCAGGCGGTTCATTCACGAGTCCTTCCGGATGCATTATGGGGAGGACTGGCAGGAAGAGGCTGTGAAGCTTGCGTGGTAAACCATGGGTTGTCTAGATGCTAGACCCCTCTTTGTATATGATAGGCTGATATTGTTATCCTGACTCTTCGTAGCTGGGTATAAGATGGAAGATTCGAGGCAACTTGAGAGGTCCGTTTTGTAGCTGTAGACGCAGGTGAAGTCGAAATATTCCTAATCGGGACGGATGAAGATTTTGCCGCCAGACGCGATTAGCGAAGAAACAGCCTGAGGCCGCCACGACGAAGAAGCAGAAAGACAGCGAAGGAGAAAGGCGAAACGAAGGCAAAGCGAAGATCTACTGCGAGAGAGAAATACCCAGCAGCAGGCGAACCCGCTGGAAGCTTAACTACGTTGAACGCTCCATCCACCGACCGGCTTGCCGCCAGTTGTGCTGCAGATGCATCGCCAGCAGCTTCGACACTGAAACAGCGCGCGACTTCTTCCCCGCCGCCCAAGAGAAGACGAAGTTCGAAGCGGAGATAAAGACGGCGAGAAGAAGGCGACAAGATGCCGGAGTCGAGTGCGCTGGGCGAGCTGTTTATCGAAGGGCCGTCGGACCCTGATGCGCAAGCTACCGTCACGGACTTCATCGACTACACAGAATACCTCCCCTCAGACCTAGTCCGCTCGCTGACCTTGATTCGCGGCCTCGATGAACGGTATGTGAACGCGACAGCGTCTGTCCATGAGCTTACAAAGGTCTATGGCCAGCTCCCAAACCTCCCCGCGGAGTCTCGTCCCCAGCCGCATATACTACGCAAGCAGATATCAGAGCAGCTACGGCGCGCGGTCAACGCCCGCGAATCGGCCTATGCAGAGTCCTGCCGTCTCTACGATCTTGTGGACCACTATGTTGATCGCCTGGGGAGTATAAAGTCTAAGCTATGCACGATACTGGCGAATCTAGGCTCGGTGAAGGACGAAGAGATTGCTACCGAGAAGAGACCAGGAACCGCAGAAGGAGCTGGTACAGCACCCAGGATCACCCTTCGTGTGGATGGCCAGAAGGCTTCGGGAGCTGCTCGTCGCCAGGATACGGCAGCACAGAAAAAGTCAAGGAGCCAGAAACCTGCCGCCCTCAAGACTGGTGCTGCGCTGCCGGAAAGTCCAGCAGTAGCCGGCCCATCCCTTAATCTGCCTCTAGATCAAGCCTTGGAAAGGACAAAAAAGGAAAAGCAGCCCAAGAAACAAAAGCCGGCACAGTCTACGAATAGATCAGCTGCCGATGCAGCTAGGACAGCGCCAATTCTGGAACCACCTCCCGAGGATGCTGTGATTGGTGGTGAGTATCGGCCGTGGCTACGATTAACAGAATGGGAAATGGCACGACTACGGAAGAAGATGAAGAAAAATATAGTCTGGCAGCCCAGTGATGTTATGATACAGCGAGAACTGGCCCTGGGATCTCGTGGCTGGGAAGGGTATCTAGCTGCCAAACAAAAGGCCGAGGAAGAAGGCACCGAGTTTGTGGATTGCGATGATATCATGAACACCTATTCCCCAAGTGTACCCGCCTTCAAAGGTGCTGGAATGCCGCCGCAGTTAAGGAATGAGGAAAACAAAACCGTTCTCAATCGAGGTATGAAACTCAACGAAGCCAAGAAGCAGAAGCGTGAGAGTCTGGCTCGGGAACAAGCCGCTGCCCTGGCCGCTGCGGAAGCGGAAATGGCAGCCAAACGTCTTGGAAATATTGGATCTACCTTCAAGAATCTGTTCTCGAGTCCTGTGCAACCGTCACAGACTCCGGCTCCCACACTACCAACTCCATCTGTGCCACCTGTTGCTGCTGCTGATAGTGTCCAAAGCACTGGACCTTTAAGCAATAATGCCAACAGCAGCAATAATGTTAATAATGCCTCTTTAGCTAATGATTCAACAGCTATGCCTAGGCTGAAGATAAAACCGAGCACGTCCAAGAAGAGGAAACATGATGAATTAGTTGATGCTGTACCTTCTGGACAAGAAAAGGGCGGTTCAAGGCCTACATCCGCTGGAGCCAGCCCATCGACCAAACCTTCCCAAAAAAGGCTACAGCTCACAATGCCCGCTTCTGAGAACCAACCTCCTACCACTGGGGCGAAGAAGACTGCTAAGCCTACAATATCACTAAAACTTCCCGTCCTTCCACCCAGGCCAGGCTCCAAACTATCTTCCCCCATGACTTCCCCTGCCGAGCCAAAATCGGCTGTTGAATCCTCAACCCGCCGGCGTTTATCTGGTGTCTCCAAGGCCATACGCAGCGCTACTCCTCCCGCGGTAGCTAGGACATCATCCCGTCGCCGCTCAATTACATCCGGATCGGTTGATTCTACAACCCGTGATCGCCTCCGACGTAAGAGCACAACTCCAGCCATCAAGGACCTCTCTACTAACCAAACAGCCACCACGACCGCTGCAGGGACAGCAGTCGCTCCCGCAGTAACGGCAGCCGGACGACGCAGCAAACGGCCTGCCCCTGGTCCTGTGACTGCCGGGGAGGACGGAGGCTCGGCAGTCAGCATAGGTAAACGAAAAGCCAAGCCGGCAGTCAAGAAGAAACGAGACCAAAAGGACAGCAATATATCGTCCAAAACTGAGGACATCCGTATTGATGAAGACGGCGTGGTTGAAGAGATTGATCCTAACGAGCCACGGTACTGTCTCTGCGGAGACGTGAGCTTCGGAACTATGATATGCTGTGAAGACGATGATGTGAGTGACGTCGAACGAAGTGTTGTTGCTTGTTTGCTAAGTGTGTCGTTTTTCGCTCCTGTCACCTGTTTCCTCTTTACTTCTGCATTCCTTTCCCCGGTGTATCTTTTTGTTTGACAAAAGCTTCTTCTATTTGCCCTTCTGTTGAGATTCTTATGGAAGGGGACATGCTAACACGGTGTTTCGATCTAGTGCGAGACGGAGTGGTTCCATCTTGACTGCGTTGGCCTGCCCGAAGTCCCTAGCCGTCTGGCCAAATGGTACTGTCCTGAATGCCGCAAGAAGCTAGACAAGATACCTCCAGACGGCATTGTGCGTAACGGTGGCCGACGGTAAAAAAGGTGAATTGGCCATAATAATCACAACATAACATAGTCGATCCTTTATATTCCATTTCTTTTTAATTTTCGTTTTCATTCTCGGTTTCCGGTATGGGGTTAAAGAGGAGGCGAGTCATGGTTCTTTAGCATCTTGCTCTTGGGGAGTTAGCGTGTTCATTTATTATGAATTATGGGAGACATGATGAGCTCGGAGTCTTTGCTTTTTCAGTGCTTTCCCTTCGTCCATTTTTTGATTACTCTCTTTTCCTGTGGCTGATCACTGCCGCCTTGTCTTGTATCAATTTTGCAGATTAACCTATACTTCACTATTTACCACACTTGACTACCGTCACTTTCGTCTCAATATTAAACCTTCAGATACACTTTTATTATGTTGCTAATATCATTTGACATTTTATGGGTGTGAATATGTGTAATGGCCTTCGAAAGGCTGTTTGTGCTGATTAGTTTTCGAGAGCTACTTCACCTGTAGGCACAACATGAACCTATCCCGTACGGCACAAACGCCAGTACTGAGTATGATAGCTACTGGAGAAAAAGCGCTAATAACTCCATCGTCTTCTTTCGCACTATTCATAGAGTTGTTTAGCACTGGGTCCCTCTCAGGATCGTCACTGGGGCTCTTCGTTCCGCAACCTTGTTTTTAATTAACTACTAAGTTCAAACTGTTCTGGAAGAATTGGTGGAGGTAGATGTACGTCGTTCAATTGATCCGGAATATATAATAAACATCATCATTCCTATAGATGGGGTATGTAAAGTATGCGTTGAATTAACGGATGAAGAATCCAAACTTGATAGTTAGATCTCAGCCAAAAAAAGGGAGGAACAGGGGGGGAAATGGAGGAAGCAGGAAGCCAGTGCCGCCCTGGAGTTCCAAGTAAACGTCAAGGGCATACTAGTGGATGAATTGAACCAAACGGTGTAGAGGGGATCATGAAGAAGTGCGGCCGTGATAACGGGATAAGGGATGGTATAAAGGGTAGCTGTAGTGGTAGACCGGGGGGTGGGAATATAAAGTACTAAGAACGCCGCATGGGTAAAACTAAAAAAATAAGTAAAATGGATAAAGCAGATCAGTCGTATAAATCCTTATCGCATTCCGCTTCTCCCGCGAGAAGTCAAACTCCTAAAAGGCTTGTTGGTTGGTAGGCTGATGTGTTTGTGATCTTTCGTATATATATGTAAAGTAGCAATCAACTATGACAATTGGCAGAGGAAAGAAAGGGAAAACATAGCAGGGGATGAAGGCGGAAAAACACGAAGACTCAAAAAGCAAAAAAAGAAAAAAAAAATAGCATAGAGAGATGATGGGAAAAAAATGTGTTCAGTATCCAAGGGGCTTCCGTTCGTTTCGTTTCCGAGGTAAAAAAAAAAAAAGTCATTCCATTCCTCCGACTAAGTAGTATAGAAAATGGGTTGTTTTTTTTCTTTGATCCAAAATAATATGGTAATAGAAGAAAGAGGTAGAGAGGGTTTAAGACAAGAAAAATATAGGAGAATGGCAGTTGAGTCGGGTAATCTCACTCTTCCATATGGCCGAAGACGCCATCGTCATCGTCATCCATGTGTACGACGGAAGATGGCGAGCCGCGGTCTGACTCGTCATCTAGAGAGCGAGAGTGCTGGGGATTGGCCGGACTGGTGCTGTCGTTCCTTAGGTTGGAATGCTGGGTAATGGTGTCTGGCTTTATGTCAGCCATTTTGACGTCTCGCTCATCTGAGACACGGTATGATATAGGCGCATGTGTGGCCATGGGAAGGCCGTCAAAGATGTTTGGTGTGGATGCGGCTAAGTTTCCCGTTATGGTCGCCCCTGAGACACTGCTGCCGCTGTTATGTGAGAAATTCATGCTGGTAGACGGGCCAGAGACGGTGCTGTTGTCTCCAAAGAAGCCATTGGAATGGCTGTTGGCCATTGCCATTGTGCTGCCGACACTCTGGCCCAGGAACCGGGCGGGAAGAGGTGGAACTGGGGGAACATCTTCGAGAATGGCCATGGGCCCTGATCTGGGGGTACCAAAATTGCAGAGTTCGATTGCGGCGGCTAGACCGGCAGCATCGTCGTCGAGGACACCGTTGGTGTCTGCAGTCGACGGTCTGGTATCTGTGCTGGAATGGCGGAAGTGGGAGTGTGCAGGCGAGTAAGAAGGGACGCTGCTTGCGCTGGCAAAGGAGGCAGAAGGGATGGACTGGAGGGACTGGGAGAAGGAGTGATTATAATTATGATTATAGCTGCTATGGCTGCTGGGGTAGCGGTAAGGGTCGTTGGATGATTTGGACAGGGCACCGTCATCACCGGTAGGGGGCGGCGTGGTCTCGGTCGAGCTGAGGCCGTCACGGAGCTCGGATATGCCAGAGACAGTCGGAGAGGTCGACGAACGGTCAGAGTCACCGCTCCCGCTGGCAGCAGCAGCAGCAGCAGCAGCACGGGCAGCAGCCTGCTCCTCCGAGATGGGTTCGTTGAGCGTGACGAGGACGCTGGCGGCTTCGAGCAGCTGGACCTGCTGGTGTTTCGATATGAGGAGCTTTGATGTCACTGCCCATGCCGGATCGTGTTCCCACCTATGGCCCCAGATATGTCAATTATCGACGCAAGCAAGATAGAAAAACGGATTAATTGATGAGTGTATTAATCCATTGGCAGCATATATTATGTAGTAGATAAGGATAAGGGGGGAAGAACGGGGTATACGCACATATGCTTGGTCAAGCAGCTGCTATGCTTATACCCCTTCCCACAGCGGTCACACTTGAGCTCGACGAGCGATCTCTTTCCTTCTCCCTTCATGAGATGCGAGCCCTCGCTGGCCCGCCTGCTCCTGTGCTTGATACTGATCGGCCTGCCAGCGGCCCCCGTCCCGGCGGGGAGCTCTTCAGAGACCGCACTGCTGCTGTTGAGGGAACCCGGCCCTGGCTTGCGATCGACTGCAGCCATGCCGTTCCTGGCAGCATGGGAGGAGGGCCCGAACGGGGACGAGGAGCCAGCAGAGGTCGACTCGAGGCCGGCCGCCCGCCGCAGCGAGAGCCCACGGCGGTGGTGGGAGGTGTGTATGGGCGCTCCGGCGCTGGCGCCAGACTCGCTGATGACGGCGGCCGCGGCGGCAGCGGCAGCATTGTTGGTGTTGTTGGCTGCGGAGGAGGTCATGCTCTTCCGCCGGGTAACGCGGTGGTTGTAGTTGAGGGCGCCCAGGGAGACGGAGTGCGAGTGCGTCCGGCCGTTGCTGGCCTGGCGAGGGTTCGGGATGGCCTGGGGCAGCGGCCGCGAAGAAGAAGAAGAGTCCTGCTGCTGCTCGAGAGCGAGGGAGTCGTTAGTGAAGAGTTGCTCGCCACGCTGGAGGAAGGAGATCGATCTCTCTCTCTCTCTCTCTCTCTCTCTCTGGGCCCCCCAGCACACACACGCCCGCAAACCGCGGCCCCGGACGCTGCATTGGGGCATCCCGAGGCTGCTGCAGGCTGTCTCTGCCGATGTACGCACCTTGAACGAGGCCATCTTGGGCTGGTGAAGCGGGAGGAGGGAGGGTTTGTCGGCCTGGAGTGTTGGTTGTTGTCGGTGGTTATTTTTTTTTTTTTATTTTTTTTCTTCCTTTTTTTTTTTTTTTTTGGTACGAAGAGCCCGGCGCCAGGGGCAAAGGCTAAGATCCTCAGCAGGCAGGGCGACGGACGACAGGGACGAGAGCAGGACTAGACAGGCATTGCCGCAGGGAGAGAGGCAGGCAGGCAGGCAGCGGTCGAGGGAGGGCGTTCGGTGGTGAAGATAGAAGATAGATGGAGGAAGAAGCAGCCAGGAAGAAGTAGAAAAAAAAGAAAAAAAAAAAGAAGGCGACGCGGTGGATCTCGGGGGTTATTTTTGGCTGTAGATCAAAGTCAGGAATACGACAGAGATTCAGATCGAGCGGGCGAGGCAGTCGACGGCGGATACGAGTCGTTTGTTGCAGCAGAGAAGACGCAGTCGAGATGTTGAAGGCGAAGTTGAAGTTGAAGTCGGAAATCCTTGATAAAACTACATTTTGATAGCAACAACAACAACGAAGTAACTAACAACTAACTAGCCAGCCTGCAGAAACGATAACACGGCCGCTATAACTGACTAGTCCCGTCCCCTGCTGCTACTGCTACTGCTACTGCTACGACCGTCGGGCTCGATGTTTCTCTCACGCTTCAGGAGCGACGACGAGGAGGAGGCCGAAGACCTGCTGGCCAGCTTCCTGCCCATCCTCTTCCCGGACTCGACGACCACCTGCGTCGGCCAGCCGGGCCAGCAGCTCGTCTACTCGTCGCCGGCCTTTGGCGAGCTCGCCCTGACGATCCCAGTCCATCCGCGGGACCAGGCAAAGGGGAAGGCAGAGGCAGCAGAGGCGGCAGAGGCGCCGCGGGGGGAGGGAGTCGACCGGGCCTGCATGCTGTTTGCGCACTTCCTCTGGGGCTCGAGCCTGCTGGTGACCGACGGCATCGAGAGGGCCTCTTCTTCCTCTTCTTCTACTTCTTCTACTTCTATTAATTCCCCCTTTGAAGCTGCGGCTGATGGTTCAGTATGGAGCGTGAAGGGTCATGATATCCTCGAACTTGGTGCAGGCGAGTAGCGACTACTACTACTACTACAACTATTATAACAACACAACTCCATGCCATCTGCATCCATCTGCGTGTGCCGGCAGTGTTGTAGAGACAGCCGCCATCATCATCTTGTTAACAGGAGAAAAATTATGCATATATAGGTGCCGCCCTGTCTTCCATCGTCAGCGTGCTTGCCGGCGCAGAGTCCGTCACCGTCACCGACCACCCCCTCGCCCCGGGCCTGTACGGCTCGATACAGGCCAACATCGACCGGAATATACCCAAGCACCTCGCCCACCGCATCTCCGTCCAGCCGTACCAGTGGGGGGTCCTCGGCCAGGGCGGCAGCGTCGACGAGGAGGAGCTCGAGACCGCGTATCTCGACCAGATGGCGGGCTTTGCGGCCGCCAACCGAGCACGGTTTAGCCGCATCATCTGTGCAGACTGTCTGTGGATGCCCTCCCAGCACGAGAACCTGATCCAGACCCTGCTCTGGTTCCTCGCGCCCTCTTCAGGTTCGCCTGCAGGCATCGCATGGGTCGTGGCAGGTTTACACACCGGCCGACATATCGTAGCCTCCTTCTTTCAAAAGGCCGTCTCTGCCGGTCTGAAGATCGAGAAGATATGGGAGCGAGACATGAATTCTACCGAGGGAGAGACGACGAGGGAGTGGAAGCCCGTTCGAGAGGACGAAGGGCCGGAGAACAGAGCTCGATGGTGCATCGTGGGCTTGCTCAGCAGGTAGTTAGTTTATCTTACCTTGCCTCTCCCCATATACATAGCAGCTACTCCATATATAAATAGAAAAGCAGCTCCCTTTTTTTTTTTTATCTATTCCTCTGGAAGCATATAGTACATACTCCCTGGCCTTCCCGGCCTCCAAACCGGAACTTGGGATATTCAACCCGGTCGTACACCGTGAAGCAGTCACCATCACCATCACCATCACCGTGGTCTTTGGCAGTGAACCATGAGACCAGCTCGCTCTCCGTCCAGTTGCAGCTGGTGATGATCAGGAACCCTCCCTTCCTGACCAGCCCGAGTGCAACGCCAGGATACTTCTCGCATATCCGCCTGCTCCCTCCCTCGGCAGACAGCGAGACGGCATCGAACGTCCCCTTGTCAAGCACGATATCAAACCCGCCTTGCTCGAACGGGAACCAGTCCACCTCCTTGCCAAACATACCGCTGCGTATGTCCGCTTCGTGTCTCGGGTCTAGAATGTCCCATACCTCGAACCGTATCCCCTCGTAGCCTTTGCCTTGACCTTGACCTTGACCTTGATCTTGACCTTGACCGCCGTCACCTTGACCCGCCAGCTGTCTGGCCAGCTCGATGCTCTTGACCGAATAGTCCACGCCCACCATGGGACCGCTAAACCCCCCTTCTTCACGCAGCAGAGTCAGCATGCTCCCATTGCCCGTCCCCAGGTCGAGTATGCTAGACTCCCGGCCGGCCTGCGAGTAGTCCGGCGCAAGCGGGAACTTCTCTGAGGCCATAAAGTCCAGCACCTTCTGCGGCGCATTGTGCTCGCTGAACCACGATGTCCCGATGTCCGAGTCGTCGTCCTCTCCCTGGCCATCGTCGTCGTCCTCGTCCTCGTCCTCTCCGTCTGCCTGCTGCTCGTCCCTGCGTCTCCGTCCGTCTCGCTTGGAGGACAGAAAGTGGGCGAGCGAGCTGTCGTAGTATCTTTCCCAGCTGCAGATGCCACAGTCAGCCCCACGATCATGGCTATATATATATATCATAAAGTAGTCAAGGACTCGCTTACTATTCTTTTGTCCCCAGCTCGCTGGGCTCGAGATTTTGAGGATGTGACCCTCCTTGCTCCTCCTCCAGGGACATCTTTTTCCTCTCTTCTCGGTGCTTGTTCGTGGTCAGTCGTTTTTCAAGGAGTTAACTCATGGATTCTCTCGCTTTTTGACCCGCAAATTTCAACATCACCAAAGCTCAGCAGGAGAAGAATCACCGCAAGACTTGGATCTACATCCATCGGCCATCCTAGCTCTCTCTAGCCTGCTATTAGTCGAGTATTAGGGAGTCTGGCTGTTCTGTCTACTCTAGTCCACTGTTCTCTCGTCCCATCAGTGTCGATGCCTGCGGAGCGAGAAAGGGAGACAAGAGTCATCTCAGACTATGCTCCCGGATTTTCATCTTTATTACTGTTTATTTAATTACTGTTATAAAGGAGAATCTGATGCTTAAATTCCTGTTCGAATAGTTAAGTAGAAGGCCCGACATTAACAGGTAACATCCAATTTGATAACTAGACCATAAAGCTGAACTTGTAGGCAAACACAGTGGACATTGTTCAATTTGGTCAGGAGAAGAAGAAGAAGAAGAAGAGAGAAAGAGAGAGAGAGAGAGAAGAAACCCCTATAATTATTCCCTTGATATCCTGCCTAGACTGACAGATCATGGCACTGGAGACACAGCTCACGAAGGACTGGATGCTGGAAGACATCCCTCACAGTGAACTCGAGCCCCCTTTGCCGGCCCAATGCCACAATCTTCATCGCTGCAATCGAGTCCCCCCCAAGACGGAAGAAGCTGTCACTTGCGCTGATACGGTCTCGGGTTTCGATCTTCAGCACTTCGGCCCAGAGTCCTTGCATCACACATTCCTTCTCCGTCTGGGGTGGTGCCCGTTCGTCCACCGAGGCCTCGCTCAGTGCTTCGATTTCCCGCGTTGAGAGGGATGCTGCCATACGACGTAGCTCTCGCCGGTCTGCTTTGCCCGTGGCTGCAATGGGGATGCGTTTGACGGGTATATATGTCGATGGGAGCATGTACCGGGGCAGTACTTCTTCAATCTGCTTTCTGACACTGCTTATCATCTGCTGGACCAAGCGGTTGTACGCCTGTCCGTTAACTTCTTCGTTCTTCTCGAAAGAGCTGTTGCTGCTACCATCCACGGCTATAAAGGCCGCAAGAGTCTTGTCTGAGATGCCAGAAAGCTCGACCAACTCAGCTACCACCTGCACACTCCCATTCTCCCCCAGAGCGCCAGAGTCTTGCATAAACTTAACGGCCATAGAGCCGATGTGATGTTCAAGATCCCCCAGCTCGACCCGCTGACCCCTGATCTTGACCTGTGTGTCTCGGCGAGAGAGAAAGAGAAGAGAGCCGTCTTCCTGGTATTGGACCAGATCTCCAGTACGATAGAGCCGCCCTCGACGGCCTGAATGTCTTCCATCGGGAGAACCACGTCGAAGCCATACGGGGTCCTCGACAAAGGCTTCTGCAGTCCTTTTGGGGTCGTTGAGGTACCCTCCACCAACAAGCGGGCCTTCAATCCAAAGTTCACCTACAGCACCAACAGCAGCCAGTGCATCCGGATTTTTAAGGTCGACAACCCATGTGCACACCCCAACTCCCCGGCCAATCTCCCCTGCTTCCAAGCATTTGGGGGCATATAGAATAGTGCTAGTGGGTGTGCATTCGGCTGGGCCGTAGGCCAATACTAGCTGCGTCTCATCACCAGCTAGGTCCAGATCACTTGGTAGAATCGCTTCACCACCCAGAACCAGCGTCGATAGTCGGGAAAAGGCGCTTCTTGGTTCAACAATGCGTGCTACTGACGGCGTCAGGTCAGCAACAGTTGCTTGGTACTTTTCCAGACAACCGCCAAGGTCGTTCTCAAATTCCTCCTGGGAAGGGATGCAGAGGCACCCGCCCGTAGCCAGGGCCCTCAGTAAATTAAGCCAGAACACATCAAAGGCATAAGATGTGAAATCTAATACCCTTGGATTACCGCCAAATCCAAGAAATTCGCCCTGGTAAGCAATTGCATTGACAAAGTTCTGGTGGGTAATCACCACTCCTTTTGCATCCCCTGTTGTCCCGGAAGTAAACACGATATAAAATGCATCGGATGGATGCACGGCCGGCCAGTCAGGGGTAGCAATCGTGGACCCAATAGGCAGATGTAGATCGTCTCCTACCTTATAGACTACCCCCTGACCTAGGCTTTCAAAGAAGGGTTGATTCGAGACAGAAGACAGTATAAGCGTCGACTTTGAGTTGGTAAAGACTTGTCCTATAATTGAACGAAGCCTTTGCTCCGGAAGCGAGATGTTGATAGCAGCTGCTGCTGCTCCAGTCTTCATGACCGCCAGCGCTGCAACTGGCATCCACTTGGACTTTTCGAAACAAAGGGGAACAATGCTCCCCCTACCAACACCTTCCGCAAGCAGACGGTGTGCAAGCTTAGATGATAATTCATGCAGCTCACCATACGTTAAATCCCCATCCCAAGCGTTAACAGCAGGAAAATGTGGCTGCTGAATGACCATCTCAATAATCAAATCGGGTATAACACCTTCAACTGGAACCGGTAACTCTGCATTCCAGGCCCAGATGTTGTTCAAATCTTGGTGGCTGGCGACAGTCACACTACACAACTTGTCTTCCCGTCGATTTGTATCGAGTAATTGTCGGATCGTGTGTTCGAGTTCGTCGGTGAACCTGATAGCACGATCCATACTGACAATGTCGGAGTCAAAGCCCATTGCAATTTCCACATCGTGGCTTTCTCCTTCACTAACTTTGATCACGATTGCATGGTTATCTCTCTTAAAGACACTTGCCTTCGTGTCACCGTTAGTGATGAGGGGGTTTTCATAACATTCGATTCCCTCTGTTCTAGAGGAGTCAATTACTAGCAGAGTTTGGAAGTTGCAGGCAAATTCGGCCTCGTCTGACAAGCAAGAAATTTGTTCCAAGCGCATACGCTGGAAGGGCTCCATGCTGCGTATTTGCTGCTCGATTTCTGAGAGGAATTGTAGAATGGTGTTATTCCAGTTAAGCACTATGCGAGTAGGCAGCATGTTTTTCCTTCCTTCACCATTCAGGCGGCATACTCCAAACAGGCTTTCATCGGAATTGGAGAAGTGAGCCGTCAAGATCGCCCACGCAGCCCCAACTACAACTTCCGTGGGGAAACTCCCTGGGATTAAATCAATGCTTTTCAAAGTCAGATGTATTTTTTGGCCACGTTCAATTCCGGTGGTCTCCATCTGCTTGACTTCAGGAAAGTGTACACCGCGAGTGTTAGAAAACTGGTCTTTCCAAAAGCTGTCGGCAATGGACCTTTCAATGCCGTATTTTTGTAGAAATATCTGATCAAAGAGAGATGTTGACTTGGCCGATTGATCATTGTTTATGATGGTGATTCCCTCTCGAAGATCATCATCTCCAGTGTTACTGTCAATATCGATGGTTAACAGGTAGTCAATTGCCTGGTTGAGCGTCTCATAGACCTCTTCAGCTACCTGCTGGGTAATATATGGTTTTCTATATTCTAGCAAAAGATCGGTATGGCCATGACGATTTAGTGAGACGTTTAGACTCAAGTCGTACTAAGTACAATCAATCCACAGTTAGTTTCATATCATATTCTCACTATATCCATAGAATCTTTGTCTTACTTCATGGCCGTCCTCATCATCCAATGTTTGGAACTTAATGCTGTGTTTCTGAACTTCTTCCTTGTCGTAAGAGCGAATTGAGAGGGATGTATTGAAGAGCCGTTGGCCAGACAGCCCAAGCCGGTGAAGGACCTCCCCAATAAACACATGCTGTATGGCCATGTTCTGTTCTGACTTCTTGGATGTGGCCCGGAGGACCTCTTTTACTGGCACCCCCATGTCAACCCGGCTGATAAGGAGATTAGCTAACGGACCAACCATTTCCTCGACTCTCTCAATTGGAGCGTCACGCCCCGACGTGAGATAGCTAAAGCAG